GCGTAGGCCCCACCTCCACTCACATTATGTACACCCTTATGTACATCCTAATGTACAAGTAGTATTGTCCAACTTTGAATCAATTGGTTCTTAACCTTTCACAGTTCTCAAAAATAGTGCCTAATCGCGGTTAGTAAAGTGCGGTCCAATCCCTATAAGTTTCATTGTTTTACAATTCGGTCCCTACTTCCAAGCTTTTAGCAATGTTGTCAAAATCGGCCCGGCTGGTTCGACCGGGAACCGGACCCATTGTTTTACAATTCGGTCCCTACTTCCAAGCTTTTACTTTTTAGTTCCTTTTTTATCTAAATTTTCAATGTTCATCCTAGAACTAACAAAAGTGTCAATGACGGTCCCTGAATCTGCATAATCATCTGAAATTGGTCCTCCTCAAGTTTCGGAAGTGCGTAAATCAATCCCTAAACTCTCAATAAGTTGAATTATACTTTCAAAAATTGATACTTTCCTCCGATCGTTCTCTCAATACTTCTTGTCAATCCTGCTATCTATAATGATAACATTTATGGTAAATTGAGTAGAAATTTGCTCATTTTACAAATAATTTTGCAATTTTAAAAGTGCTCATAAGCGTGTAAAATAAATTTATTAAATAACATCCAATTTTTTATTAGAATGTGTAACTATGTAAACATGCCTTTATTCAAATTTTTAAGTACCAGCTCAAATTGAGATACAAAATCGAGTTCTATGAACTTGGAAATATAAGTCCACACAACGACTTAACGAAGAGTTAAACGAGGGTTTTTTTTTTTTTTTTAATTTGCAATTGATTGTGCAACTATTATGCAATGTTGAGGATGTACTTGCTCATTTCTAAAGGCGGTTTATCAACTTACAACTCAAACAATAAATTAGATAACAATACTGCAATTTTCTCTAAATCTTTTCGTAATATAGGAAGAGTCAACACCCACATTTTTATTTAATTTTATATATGTCCGTTTAGGTAAATTTACAAGAGATTAAAAATATAATATAATTATCCTTTAGAAGTGGATGTATATATAAAAACGTTGATGTAAATAGCGCCACTCAAATGATACTTATTGTTATCTATAATAGTGTAAATGATAAGATCGATTAATTGTTTACTCTATTTTTCTAGGAAGTTGGAAAAGGTTTTCCATTTTCCACCTTTTGTGATGTTTGATAGCAAATTTTTTTCCCGGAATTCGTTTTCCCTCCCAACCCCTCACGCACATCTTTTCTTGGTTTTGAAGGAAAATGTTTTCTTTTGTTTTTTGTGGTAATTGATATTCCAGCTTTTTGTTTTCTTTTTTGGAAATTAGAAAAATTCTAGATACGATGGTAAAAAAATTATCACTTTTATTGACAATTTTCGTTTAAAACAAAGCCAAACGAATGGTATTCGGTATAGTTATTTGTTTTCAATTTTTTTTTCCACATTTGCGATAAAACAGACCCTTAGTGTAAATAAGATGAGCATTGAATTAGAAAATTGTTCGTTATTTTTTTACATTATTCGAACTCATACACGGTCTACCTGCCTTGGGTGTAACCAAATGATGTTAATACATATCTAATGAGTGCTAAAATGGGGTAATTTAAGTAATCCGCCATAAATCTAAGTCAGAAACTGTACTAAATTTAGAAATGTACGTGACAGTTAGACTAAGATTTTCCATTAATGACAAAAATGATCCAACTGCTCCATTCAACAATTAAATATTCAAGTAAATAATGTCATCAACCACAGAGTTTAGAATAAAATACTGTCTTGTAAGCAAGCATTAGCAACTAAACGCGTCTTCAACGCGTTTATCTAAGAATATTTATATTTATATTTTCACTTCTGAGTTTGATTTATTTTTTCTCAAATACGGAATATTTGATATTCGTTGGCAGTGAACAAAATTAGAAGCCATTGTTTTATGTTAGGCTGAGATCACTTGTACATGATTTTTAACAAGAAGAAAAACTAGTTTTTTACATTCAAAAAATAATTTTATAAAAATATTTCTTTTAATTTATAAGAAGTACTGTGACTTTTTTTTTTTTTTTAGAAGTTGTTTTGGAAGAGAGAGTTCTTTTAAAAATTAATTTCCAAACACTAATTAAGGTCATTTTTTCAAGAGACTCTTCTGCGTAAAGTAAAAGCAAATATCCTGTCAAACGGACCAGAAATAGTGTAATACATGTGAAAGAGAGGGGGGTTGCATAGAATTTTCTTTTGGAGGTATAATTTTGCTCTTGTTGAATAATTATAGGAACCAAGAATTTCAAGGTTCAATTCTTAAACTTAAAGTCACGCGGGCCTCAATAAATATAACTAGAATAGGATAGAAGTAACAAAATTTGTTTGTCTAATCGAGTATAAGAGGAGGATTTTTGCTGTGTGTACAGAAATTGTGTACACAGAAAATTCCTAGAACACACACAACACAGTTGGGCACGCATTTTTGGCAATATTTAATTTCACGTGGGGCTCATCTCCTTGTGAGTTTTCTGTTGAACTTCTGTATGGGATTTTTCTGTACAAATGGAAAAATTTCAAGAGAAGTGCCATTGCTATTTGTTCTACACCCTTGTAATTTGGAGGGTGGATTCCATCTACAAAATAATGTGGCTAGAGTATGTATTTCTCCATCTTTAATATATAACTGAAATCTGACCATCTATGTTTAACTCTCGACAATTTTTTGTCAAATGAACTTTTCTCAAATTTCCTTCGACCAAACTTTCTTTTGTTCTATTCCAAGAATTCAAATAGGGTTTTTACCAATTCGATAAGAATGAGATATGCTCGTAACTTAATTAAGGAATGTCACTTGTCATCACTCTCCATTAATCCAACCTTATTCAACTATTCATGACAACTGCTCTTGGCCTTTATATTTACTGAAATAATCTGTCATCTTCCTCTTATCCATAAGCATATATTCTTTCACCTCCACAGTATATAAACTCCATACCATGTCCACACCTAAACAGTCTATCTGAGACAATTTCCTTTTATGGTACTTCTTATTGTACAAACTACAAAGTCCAGCATTTCTGTGAAGAAAGAACTTACTAATTCTTCCGACTTAAGAAATTCTTCCAAAATTTCCGAGCCTGATATTTTCCAAAAAGCACTCAAACTACTTCTGTGTTTCCGACCCAAAGTTTAAGAACTTGTTCTTCCGATATAAGAAATTCTCCGGATACTTCCGAGCCTAATCTTTCAAAAAGCACGTACAATACTTTTGTGTTTCCGAGCCAAAGGTTTGATTTGATCATATTTCAGTAAAATGGCAGCCAATGATGTCCCATGTTGTGAAACAATGTTTTGGGTATACCTAGTCATATGTGTGGCACTAGTGGCATTTGCTGGCCTCATGTCTGGTCTAACCCTGGGACTCATGTCCCTTAGTCTCGTTGATCTCGAGGTCCTCATAAAAGCCGGTCAGCCTGAGGATCGGAAAAATGCTGGTTTGTTTAATCTTAAAGTAGATTGTTATTTTTAGGCTATGGTTACATTTTAGACAATGATATTTGGACTTTTGATTCTATTTCTTTCCAACGTTGCAGAGAAGATTCTCCCCATTGTCAAGAATCAACACTTATTACTATGCACCCTACTCATATGTAACGCCCTCGCAATGGAGGTATTAATGTCAATGCATGTTTGGTACGCATTAGACGTCACTGGCCAATACAATTTTCTTCATTAATACCGAATAGTGTCGTCCATACAAAACATGACCTCCTTGTACAATCTCTCGCTTCACGTTGGTACAGACTTAGGAACCTTGACTTATTATATTGATTTTGTCAACTTAGGCGCTACCAATTTTCATCGACGCTCTTCTCCCTGCATGGGGTGCTATACTAATATCAGTTACTCTCATACTTGCTTTTGGAGAGGTAAGCTCTTGTTTAGTTTTCTTAATGGGAAGTGTTTCTTACTAATAGCTTTATGTGAAAATTAATTGCCTTTTCTTTAACCAGATTATTCCTCAGGCCGTTTGTTCTCGGTATGGACTAAGTATTGGGGCAAGATTATCAGGATTGGTTCGATTGCTAGTCATAATTGTCTTTCCTTTATCTTATCCCATTAGCAAGGTACAGAACTTCTGAACGAGCTAAATCCAAATTTAGGATATTGTACTGTGTGGAATAGACACTATAATAAACAAGATTTTCGCCTTTTTCTTCACTTAATACTGTCCAGTCTAACAGAAGAAAATACTGCAAATTCTCACACTGAATGATGCAACATAACATATAATCTCTCTTCTTGAATTTTCTGAGTATGTTGTCTAAATTCGGAACTTTTCTTCACGTTCTGGAAGCTGTTGGATTTTTTGCTCGGGAAGGGGCATTCTGTTTTACTACGTCGTGCAGAGCTAAAGACATTTGTAGATATGCATGCAAACCAGGTTAAAATTTAGTACCTAAACTTCTTTCAAACATATGTTGTTTCATAGAATTTGGCTAAATGTGACAACAATTTTCATTTTCAGGCAGGAAAAGGTGGTGAGTTAACCTATGACGAGACGACTATTATTTCCGGAGCTTTGGATTTAACACAAAAAACAGCTAAAGACGCAATGACACCATTAAATGGAGTATTCTCTCTTGATCTCAATGCCAAACTCGACAAGTAGGCCACTTGAGCCCCCAGTTTTTCTCCTTAGGTTTTTGTTTTTCTACGTGCTGATACTTCTTGTCCTCAGTGACACAATGAGTCTGATAATAAGCAAAGGGCATAGTCGAGTACCCGTGTTCTCAGGAAGTCCAAGTAACATCGTTGGCCTCGTTCTGGTAAGCATATCGCTGATTTTATTTAGTATTGTTCACCATACTAAAACTGTACTCATATGTCTTGTTTTCGAATAATGGACTTAGGTCAAGAATTTAATAAAATGCCATCCGGAAGATGAAACCCCTATCAGGGATCTTACTATCAGGAGAATACCTAGGTATCAGGTTTCGTGGTGCATTTTTCACTTCATTTCTCAGATTCCTATGATTAAATAATTTGATTTAGACAATTGTTAATCTGATGCGGTTTCTCTTATAATTAACAGGTTCCCTGACTGTTTGCCATTGTACGATATATTGAATCAGTTTCAGAAAGGACAAAGCCATATGGCTGTGGTTGTTAAGACTAATCATCCCAAGGAGCCTGCAGAAATCGTTTCACAATCTGATGTACTGATGATAAAATCTAGTCCAAATTTAACACAAAGACAAGGTACTGAACGTGTTAGTTGTCATCACCTAAGGGCTTGTTTGGTACACATGATCGACAATATTTCAACTATTATTTTCTTATTTAATATTAAGCCCTGTTTGGTACACATTAAAATTTTCATTTTCATTCTTCTACTCATTTTCAACCGTACATTCTTCAATAAAATAATATTTTCCATGACATCAATAATTTTTCCTTCTTTTTCAACCACATATTCTCNGGCCAAGAGCGATTCAGGGCCGTCATTTCTTCTTATTACCGTGGTGCCTTTGGTGCTCTTATTGTCTACGATATTAGTCGAAACTCAACGTTTGATAGCATCCCTCGTTGGCTTGAAGAACTCAAGAGTATGATTCTCTTTTATGTCGCTTCTCCTAATTTTGAATCCCGTCTCTGTTTTTTTAGGTTACCCATTTTTGAGCCCCGTTTGACCTACTTTATTTTTTTCATTCTCATTCTTCTACTCATTTTCAACCGTACATTCTTCAATAAAATAATATTTTCCATGACATCAATAATTTTTCCTTCTTTTTCAACCACATATTCTCCATCAATCTACTATTCCAAAATATATTCTTTCAAAATAATATCTATCAAACACACCCTAAGAAAAATTGCACCATTGGTAATCATTTATTTATTGTCCAAGTAGCAGTTGATGCCCAACCTTTAAAAATGAGAAAGTTAGTGTTCAACCTTTTATTATAGTTGCACAATTCCTAACAATAGAAATTGACCAATTTTTTGTTAAATCATCACGTGGCTACCATGGAAGCATGATTTGAAATTTCCCAGCACCCACTTAAGTCGAACCATCTTACGATTTAGGGTGATGACCAACTTGCTACTAGGAAAATAGGTTTGAGACCAATGGTTCAATTTTCTATTGAATCAATCTGGTGCTGTCCAGTATACTCTACCAAACAATAAGGGTCCGAATCACAAGTATGTTCTTTTTTTTTTCTTTCTTTTTTTGATGTAAATACTAATCATTGAAAGAAATCTTGAATCTGTACATCATTACCTGCAGGAAGTAATTGTTTTTGTGGTCATAGTAAACAAGTGACTATGTTCAGGCAGACTTTATCACCGGTGGTTTCCCCTAGCATTGTGATTCCAAGTCCAGGATCGGGCATGAAGATCAACGATGATGGTTTGGAATCTTTTACTAACATAGATGAAGAAGTTATTGGTATCATTACAATGGAAGATGTACTAGAACAACTATTACAGGTCAATTTCATGACTAATATTATAAATCACTTACCTACATGTTTGATAAGGTGGATTAGACAACTCTAGTTAGTGTTTTCAGCCCTTAGCTCTCTGTCTACTGGTAATGTAACAAAAGTAGCCGTGTCAGCGATTACACGTTGTTGATGTTTTTTTCCCTTTTTAAGACTGATCTTTTTCTGATTAATGAAGTCTTGCTAAATCTATTTCATGTGTTCTGCTCTTACAGGAACCAATATTTGATGAAACTGATGAATATGTTGATGTTCACAACAAGTATGGCATTTTTGTTTCTCTCTCTCCCTTCATGGCATATTTGGTAGGATGCATTAGACAGATAGTACAATATGAAGGGGAAAAAAGTTAAAATTTTCTTTTGTACGGTCTAATCTAGTCGAGTATTGCATGCCAATAGATTTGCGGACAAGATAAAAACTTCAAACTGCTAATGTGGAGGAAGAACCTTACTTATGATTCTCTACAACAGTCATACATTATGAAAACTATACTTACAGTTATCTTTGTCATATTAGCGGTGAGAAGTTTTTATCGTGCGTACGCATACCAATACATTCCATCATTGTACCTATAATCAATGTTTTTGTATCTGATACTTCTCTCTCTCTCTCTCTCTAGAATCAAGATTAATTTGATTCCTCCGGTTAAACACTCTTCAAAATCTACTGGAATAGCATCAGCTTCTCAGCCCAACAGTCAGACTCCAGTTACATCTCCATTTTCGTCAACTCATCAGACGCCTATTTCATATCACCATACGCCAATACTGCGTTCTCCCATTTCGCCATACACTCGTTCACCGATTACTAGGCCAACTCTTTCTGCATCCCCAGGAAACTCTGCTGCAACTTCTCCAGTTGGATTTACGCACCCATTTTGCAATTCTCCCTCCACGTCTCAGGTATGTATGCACTTTCAACACCAACACAGACTCATTTTTGAAAGACTATCCTAATTGGAATTTCAACAAGAAATGCATTACAAAATCTATGCAAGAGAATAGTAAATCGCGTTCTTCGGTTCTATTAGAGAATCATCGCTACATAAACCGGGTCCACCATCCTTTTCCCAGATTAGATAAAGGCTAAAATTTAAATAACTTCCTTCTGTTTAAAGTAAACTCTTTTGAGGTTGTGGTTTGATAGATACACATCCAGTTGTCAATAAGGAGTGAAAAACAGAGCATAATCATAAGCTTCATAAAACAACAAACTAAAAGCTTATTTGGCACAGAGGAAAAAAATGAATATTTTGGAGAATTTATGGATAAAAAGTGGGGAAAAGTTATGGCTCAGTAGAATGTGTGGTTGAAAAAAATGCTAGCGTTTAAAAAAAAATCTTTGACAAACAAGCCTTTTAAGTCTTATTCCTAATAAATTCATACTTGGCTTGGAGACGGCAAAATGACTAGTCGGCTCGGGCTCTACTCGAAAAAAGTCATGGCAGAGCCCCATTTTGGGGC